AGGCTTTAGCTTAGTAGGAAAGATAGAAATGCTGTGATCGATTAGTGATGTCTGCTCAGAACCACCGTGTTGAAGCGGCAGCACTATACCAGGCTTTGGTAGTGTGGAACTAGCCTGTCCTTCATTTTGTAGATGAGAAAGCCGCCTACCAGAGAATGAGAACAGCTGAAAGTTTCAAATGAGCCAAGAATGTTGTAAGGAGGCTGCTTGTTTGTTCCCGGCTGCTCAGCCCCGAAATAATCACACAGAAACCATATTATTTGCAATACTGTTTGGCCAATAGCTTAAGCATATTTCTGCCTAACTCATATCTTAAACTAACCTATCTCCATTAATTTGTGTATCATCACATGACTGTGGCGTCCCAGCATAGTTTCAGCATGTCTGTCTCTGGTGGAGGCTCCATGACTTCTTCTTGACTCTGCCTCTTTTTTTCCCAGCATTCAGTTTAGTTTTTCTACCTAGTTCTACTCTGCCCTATCAATAGGCCAAGGCAGTTGTTTTTTTTTTTTTTTTAATTCATCAATGGTATTCACAGCACACAGAGGGGAATCTCATATCACAAGATGTTTTGTTTTGCCCTAGACCTTAGCTCTAGTGCTATTTCTGTGATTTAGCACAAGGTCTCCAATATCCAGTCTGACTCTCTGTATTAGTTGAACCTGTAGGAAAATTGCTTAAAGCTGATTCTGCCTCCACTGTGCAAACATTGCCTTATTGTACTTATTTCAGCTGTTAGTCTACTATGTAGTAGTACTTTCTCCTCAGGACTGCCAGCCTACACATAACAACATGGAGACTTCTTATTAAATATGAAAGCTTGGCCTTAGTTTAGGCTTGTCCCACTAGCTCTTATAACTTAATTAGCCTGTTTTCACTAATCTAGGTTCTGCCACGTGGCCTTTACCTTTCCTCAGTACAGCAAATCTAACTTGCTCCAAGTCTGCTGGTGAAATCCTCTCACACCGAGATTCTACTACTCTCCTCTTCCTCTCTCTCCCTGGAAATCCCTCCTATCCTCTTCTGTTTAGCTCTTGGCCATTCAGATCTTTATTAAACCAATCAGAAGGCACCTCAGGCTGAGACACACAAATAAACATTCTGCAGTACTGCTACACACAAATAGTAAAGACTCCAAACTTACTTTTTCTCTTTTATTGAAAATATTTTTTTCTCATACTATATCCTAATTTTGGATTTCCCTCCCTCTATTCATTCCAGTTTCTTTCCCCCTACACCAAACCTGTTGAGTAGAACAGAGTAATTATTCATATACTTACTAATATAGCAGCAAAGTGGGTCATAGGTCAAATGTCCATAAACATAGTTTTGGTGGTATCGGGCTAATGATTTTTAAAGGTATACATTTATGAATGAATGAACTGCAATTGTTTTAATACTCAATAGGGCACTCTGACTCCCTAACAGCTGACTGGAAATTGTTATCAATGCAAGAGACCAAGAACTGTGGTTCATTGTTAGGAGTATAAATCTGTTTTCCCTTCTGGGAGAACAACTCCAAGAGAGACTTTAAATGTGGAAATACCCTACTTATTCACGGTCCCTTGTTGCTTGCTCTTGTTCTATTAAAGAAAGATTCAATTAATTTTATTTTATGTGTATGAGTGTTTTGCCTGAATATATGTATGTGTACCATGTGTGTGCCTGGGGCCAGATGAGGTTTTCAGATACCCAGTGACTTGAGTTACAGATAATTGTGAGTCACCACATGGGTGTTGGGAACTGAACCTTGGTCTTCCGGAAGAGAAAAGTGCTTTGAACTAAGGAACCATCTCTCTACCCTCTTGTCTTTGTACTTGAGGCAAAGTTTCCCTGTGTATCCCTCGCTGTCTTCAAAGTCATTTCCTCCTGCCTCTGCCTTCTAAATGTTGGGACCTCAGGGTGTGCCCCAGTGTAGTTATCTTAATACAAGCAAACAAGCTGCTATTTGTGTGTAGCACAGATCTGAGGAATCCACAGAGAAAAATTGTCTATGCATAATGATGTGTCAATTTTTACTATCTTTCTTAGATCTAGTCATTTATTTGCTCATGACTAGATCCTCTGAGAACTGAAAGGGCTAAAACTAAAGTCATTTTTTTTTTTTGTACAAGGTTGGAAGTTATGGCAGGAGCTAAAATCCTCCTCCGAAAATCCTTTTAGAATAAATAACAAAAGTTCTGCTTTAGCCCATAGTTGGATGGCTAAAAGCTACATGTCCCTGCTACCCTTGCAGCAAGCTGATAGAAGCTGACAGAACACAGTGGGAGACAGAAGGTATTCATCCTTGATATCACTGAGGTACCATTTTAGCTCTGGGCCATACAAGGAAATAAAGTGCTGTCTTATTTAGACCATGGTTTGGGGGGCACTCCTGGCAGAAAGGAGATGTGCATCCTTAGGGGTTGGGCCTCGTGGGTTACAGTGACCCTGCATCTGGCCCTAGCTCTCTGCTTCTGGGTCTGCGCCCTGTGATCAGCAGATGGTATATGCTCCTGCCGCCATGTCCTTGCCACATGAGCCGCAGGACCAGGGTCCAGTCACTTCTCGATGTCTACACCATACGAACTGTAAGTTAAAAATCTCCACCCACAGGCAAGTTTCTCCACTGTCATTAATCAAGATTTTTTTTTTTTAAATTCTATTGACAAGTCATTGAAGTTAGGCTACAGTCCAAACTATTTATACAGCCCTGGAGGGTCCCGACTTTGCCCCTTCCTACCTTCCCACAACCACTCCCACCATTGGCCTCCCTTTTCTGCTGTTATTGTGAGTATCTTTCCATTGTCTTCTCATTGGTCACCCTCCTGTTACCATTCCCTTCTTCCTAGTAATGGTTGGATTTAAATATCGGCTCTCTGGAGAGCAGATCTGCCCAAGGACCCATCTGAAGTCTATGTGAAGTTTCCCTTACTTTAATTTCCATCATTTTCACCACCACCACTCTCATCATCATCATCATCATCATCACCATCATCATCATCATAATCATCATCGTCATCATCATCATTGTGGTCCTCATTGCTTCTTCTTCCTTCTCCTCCCTCCTCTTCCTCTTCCCCATTTCCTCTTCCTTGTCACCTCGCTCCTTTCTTTTTTCCCTTCCTCCACATTTCCTTCTTCTCTTCCATTTCCTTGTCCTTATTATATTTTCATAATGGCATCAACCATCAGTAGTCAGTTAGCCTCTCCACTTATGTTCTCTCTTCCAGGGAGAGTACCAGCTTCAGGCTGATGTGGGCATAGCAACCCACTGACTGTAGACATGCCAGGAATGTAGTAGGTGCTCAGTAAATATCTTCTGAATCATCACAAGAGACCTTTTATGTGATGTATCCTGCTGTTCAAACTGGACAGATAAGGAAATGGGGAACAGGTTCACAGACTCAGAAGGGTGATCAACTCTCTCACAGGGTGGTGAAGCTCATGCATTCAATGTGCCCATTCTGCATAGTGGGGGCTCTTTTTTTTTTCTAGACTAAATCTAGGCTTTTTTCTTATTTTTCTACAGTTCATCAATATTAGAGCCATCATGAATGTTTATTTATCTAATGGGAATGTGTTAAAGGAGACGTCTGGCATTACAACACACTTGCGGGTACAAATAGAAAGCAGAGAGCTATGAGCAATTATTTTCCTTTTGGCCCCTTTTGTGTCAGAATGTGAGAAAAGAATTTTTATTATTTTTTTATTTATTTATTTTTTTTTAGAATATGTTTTTAAAGTCTGTTCTTGGGTCAGGCTTGATGGGTAGTGACCAAGACATGGCAATTTTGATCTTATCTTGAGAGCATCCCGTGAAATATAAAGGAAAAGAGACACCAAAATAAAGGTTTAAAATAAGTTTATTGATAGATTTCTAAGAGAAACTAACAGATTTGGTCATGTTCCTGGCTTCCCTCGATTGGGGAAGAGGGCTTGTCCAGCCAGACCTGTGTTTGGTTATAGATTAATAATCTAAGGTACAAATAGTTCAGAACATTACAGAAAACAGAAACTACAATAGCCAACAAACGGGAGTTCAAAGGTTTCTGGAATCTGCTGAGTGTTCTCGCGCAGACATTTTTGAAAGAGGTGATGCAATACAGGGCTTGGAGCTTCGCAACACAAGCAGTAGGTCGATTTCTGCCTGAATATCATTGCGGATTGTGCAACCATTCCACAAAGGCCGTGGAGGAAGGCAAACAGAAAGGGCACAGAATGTAGACTGTCAATCAAAGAATAATCCAGTAATTCCTCTGCAGCAAATGTGCCTTTTCTATTGATTCTCCATTGCGCTGGGTTGAGAGAAGACAGGACTTTGGGCTGTCTCCAGATCCCGAATGGCTCTGACGGAGTCAAGTGGAAGAACTGAAGCTCCATGTGCGCAGCCAGGCACGGCAGCCTACGACTGCAATCCCAGTACCGCCTAGGGTCTAGAACAAGTTCAAGACCGTTCTGGATAATTTGGCAAGATTCCGTCTCAAAAAGCAAAAGCAAAAATCTACTGTAACTTTAGCTGCTGGGTAGAGTTTATGCCTAGCAGACGTATGCCCTGGACTCAAACAATCCCCAGTGCTGGAGAGAAAAACAAGTCATGTCATACTCCTTAAAAATCCGAATGCCTTTACATGGAGATGAAACACACACACACACACACACACACACACACACACACACAAAACTCTTCCTTGTCCCCTTCTTGTCACACACTTTCTTGTGCCAGGGCTTCAGCCTCACTGGACAGCTTCATGCTCCTACAGCACACAGCTTCCTGCTTCAGGACCTTTGTATCCGCTCTTCCCTCTTCCAGAACCTTCTTTCCCTGTTCACTTCCCTCACATATCTTTTGGGTTCTGAGTAATCATGAAGTCTAAGTGGAATGGCCTCCAGTCTTCTACATCTATTTGAACTGCTCATTTTCTTTGTGTACCCAGCGGACTCAGGAAGTGGATTGTTTGATTAGGCGCTCTCATCTACTGTCCACTTGGGGTGTTGGGTTCCAGAAGAAGGTAGCAGAACCAGACCTGTCCCTTGCATCCATGCCACTCAGAGTCTTGCCGAGCTCTCCTCAGCCATTTGCAGAAGACAGAACAGACATAGAATGCGCCAGTCTCGGCTGGTTTCTGTCCTTGTCCGTTTGCACTGGGAAGACACCAGGTCCCTCACAGTTCAGGGCAATGACTAAGTGGGAGGTGGCCTGTCCCTTGGTCTGAAAGCACTGAAGAAACATTCAGAAGAGGGGTGACAGTTCAGATACGACTTAGGGTAAGTCTAACTGCAAGGGCCCCCACTTTAGCTCAAAGACGTGGGTTTTAGTCTGATAAGGGGGGGAAGGGGAGGAAGATCAGTAGCACTCTTGCCGCATGGAACTGAAGGGCTGGGGAGGTGGCATTCCGGTGGGGGACTTCCTCTTCCTCCTCTTTGCTTTCCTGTGTCCTGTCACCTCTAGAATAGTAAAGAATGCTGTTTGCAGACCCTTACCACAGCCTGGCTTCTGGGCACAAAGAGAGAGGTGCCTTCTTAAGGTTTCTAGAGCCTTCCCAGAGTTCTCCTTGGCTTGTTTTAATCATGGGAGCTCTTTGAACTGGCCACCCTGGAAAGGGGGATGCATGGTCTAACTGACTGCAGATAGGGAACAGAGTAGCCTTAGGCCTTGGAGTTGGACTTAGTAACACTGAGCAACATGGAACAAGAAGGAAGTATGAGTGACCAAAACCAAAACAAAACACAGCAGTGTTTAGCAAAAGCAGAGCTTAATTGGTGCTGGGAAGAGTATGGTGTGTCGTCTGCTGTGAGCTAATTCATTGACGGAGTCGCTGACTCAGTGCGTGGGTCCCACAGCAAGAGCAGCGAGTGGAGTCTTCTGGCCCCACTAACCTTGAAGTCTATGCAAGCCATGATCCATCGTGCTCCATTGTGCTCCACCGTGCTCCACGTGCTCCACGTGCTCCGCCGTGCTCTGACGTGCTCCACTGACACGTCTGGTTAAATGACCTGGCTTGGGAGGACTGGAAGAGTGAAAGCAAGGGAGACATTTAGGAAAAGGCAAGCTGGTGTCTCCCTCTCTCTGCACGAAAGCAAGGAAGATCCTAGCACCAGAACTACTGCCTCTGAACCCTCCGAAAAGATAGAGAAGCATTTGAAAGTGCACTGGGCCTTCCAGTTCTCCGGAAATTGGTATCATGTAAATCCCTGGACGAACAAAGTTAAGATAACTACAGGGGATTTGATTCATTCATTAGTCTTGTGGTCCTTGGACAAGCGTGGCAGATGTGTGCTGGGTAGCCAGAGAAGTCCCTTTTCAAACCTTCCCCCTTTTGAGACGGGGTTTCTCTGTGTAGCTCTGACTGTCCTGAAACTTGCTCTGTAGACCAGGCTGGCCTTGAACTCACAGAGTCCCAAGTACTAGGTAGGATTAAAGGCGTGCACCACCATACTCGACCTCAACCTCCATTTTTAAGGGACTTTACAGCAATGGTCCTTAAAGTCTTTGTGGGTTAGTCTTTTGTCAGTTTGACACATGCTAGAGTTATATGGGAAGAGGGAACTTATACTGAGAAAATCCTTTCATGAGACTGGCCTGTAGGTGAGCCTGTGGGGGCATTTTCTTGATTAATGGTTGATGTGGGAGTGTTCAGTCCATTGTGTGTTGTGCTACTTCTGGGCAGATGGTCTTGGTTTGTATAAGGAAGTAGATGCTGGGCTGGAGAGATGGCACAGTGGATAAGGGCCCTGCTGTTCTTCCAGGGGTCCTGAGTTCAATTCCTAGCAACCACATGGTGCCTCACAACCATCTATAGTGGGATCTCTGTCCTTTTCTGTCATAAAGGTGTACATGCAGATAGATAATATAAATAAATCTTTTTTTTTTTTTTTTTTAGAAAGCAGGGTGAGGCAGGACAGTGGTGGTAATTGCCTTTGATCCCAGCACTCAGTAGAGGATCTCTAAGTTTGAGGCCAGCCTGGTCTACAGAGTGAGTTCCAGGAAAGCTGGGCCTATACAGAGAAACCCTGTCTTGAGAAAAACAAAAACAAATAAGTAAATAAATAAAATATTTAAAAACATTAAAAAGTAAAAGTCGTGTGAACAAGCCAATAAGCTAAGTTCTTCTGTGGTCTCTGCTTTGGTCCCTGCCTCCAGGTTCTTGCCTTACGTTTCTGCCCTGACTTCCCTTCATGATGGACAAAGCGGTGTGAGGAAATAAGCTATTTTCTGCCCTAGTTTCTTTCGATCGCGGTGTTTCTCACAGCAACGGAAAGCAAACTAGTGCAGGGTCCTTGGAGAAGATGGTGTTAGCCTTGGAGAACATGGAAGACCAAGTTACTGCCTTCTGGAGGTATGGCAGCCAAGCTGAGATTTTAAGAACAAAGTTCTCAGAGTTCTCATTGGATTATGATTTGCCCGGAGACCTAGTGTCTTAAAGCTAGTGTCTTAGCTCCCAGACATTGCAGACAATGGCTGTCACTGTGGCATGTGATGAAACAGACTCACGAGCACCATTTTACCCTCTGTCTTCTTAGTCTGTTGGGAGCCTTTTATGGATGATAGAATTATATCAGATTTTTTTAAAAATCTATCAAAATCCTCTCCTTTTATAGTATATTTTTAAAATTGTTTGGGTAGTGAATCTTTGAAAAATGTTTTATGATAATTTGGGTTAACTCTATTAAGAACATTTGTTGGGTGTTTACTTTGCTCTGGCACCGGCTTCGCTGTCCTGAAATGCCTGGAAGGACACTCTGCCATCTTCCTTGGGAAGACGACTCTAGGAAGCTTCCCTGGGGAACTCAGAAGGCAACAGGCATGCATTTGTAGTTGTAAACATTTGGTTTCTGTCAGCCTGTGGTGGCCGTGCATTGTCCAACTCTGAGGGCACTTAGTGACGGTAGTCAAGAGAAGCTTAGTGCTCAGGCCTTCGAGGAAAGGGGCACTCTGGAGAAGGACCAGCCATTGAGTTTCTGAATTCAGCTTTGGCAAAGCCAGACTCAACTTTGCCAAGAACACAGTGAAAGGCGATGTCTCTTAACTTTGTATTTGAACAGAACTATTGAATGCTGGCAAGTGGGATGGTGTTTCTAGAAGAATCCTAGGCCATAAGAATGACCATAAGGAGTAACTTTAAGGTCTATCTGGTCCAAAGTTGTCTCGTTTTACTCCAACAGCACCGGAGACCGAGAGGGGAATGGCCTAGTCAAGGTGACACAACCAGGGAGGAGTCAGGGCTGAAAGTCTGGCCTGGGAGCTGCTGTTATTTAACCCCATCTCCATGGTTGTGATCAAAGGACGCAGTTTCTCTCACACATGAAGCAATAACCTGGCCTTAATAAAAAGTTGGGTAGGTGACTAATGAACTATGTCTACCATGAAGTGGGTAGCCTTAGTCAACCGCCAAGCCCTGTGCGTGCACAAGCTTTTATGTCTGTGTGACAAGCTCTCATTTGAATGCACAAGTGAACGCATAGACCCCTGTGGAAAAATCATTAACTGAGCTGTGGTGGGGCCCACAGGTGGCCAGACCACATGTCTGTGCCACTTCTGGAAGTGATGGAGAGGCCTAACACTTACTTCCCACCGTGCGCGCTTGTCTCAGACACATGAACTCGAGTTCCTCCTGGGAGGTGCAGAACCAACCTGTATGTGCTGAATGACTACCCTCTGCCTACCTGGTCCTCTCTTTCTCTCTTCCCTCAATACATGTGTCATGGGCATGTCTGGGCATGGACATGCAGTCACATGCAATGAGAAGTGGACATGGCTATATTTTATTTTTAGAGGCATCTTAGGACGGTCAACCCTTGCTCTGCCTTTGCTGTTTTCTTTTACGGTTTTCTTTCCTCTTTCCGCTCCCTGCCCTTTTTCTCCCTGATGCCTATTTTCTTTGGCAGGATCTTGCTCTGTGGTCCAGTAGAACATTAAGCTGGCAATTCTCTCCCTTCAGTCTCCTGCATACTTAGATTGCTGGTGTACAGTATATCACACCGTAGCTGGTGTGTCAGAGGGTTTTTGTTATTTCGTCATTGGGTGCTCTTTGTTTTAATTAGAAATCCCCAAATCTATTTTTAAAGGCATACCTTTGTTTGTTTGTTTGTTTGTTTGTTTGTTTTTAAATCTAGTTGTTATCTTCTGCTCTGAATTGGGTCTTGGGTTTTATTGGGTCCTGTAGACCACACTGCAAATCGATGCATCTAAACATAGTTGGAATACGCTATGATGGATGTACTAAGTGATTTTTAATTTTTACTTCTTTTTATTTTCACGTTTTGTGGGACTGACTATCAAACTAGGGCCTGGTTCATGTTGGGCAAGCATTTTATTCCTGATGTCCATGTCTAGCATGACAAAGGTTTCTAAGGAAAACAAGTGTTATCAAAAGAAGAGCTGCCAGACGATGTGGAGAGAAGACACGACCCTGATCTGACCTAAATACTTGTGCCTCATGAATTGGGGCAGACTTGGTTTACAGAGGTTGAAGTCACCTCTGTAGGCTCCTTTGCAGCAACCGGGAGGGCCTTTTCCCATGTGGGTTTAAAGTCATGGAGGCCTCAAATCCAGTTCAGGCACAGAGATCCACCAACCCAAGGGGTCCTTCAAGAACCTTTAAAAACCAAGCCCAGGCTCACAGCTTCTCTCCCAATTCTGAAAGTTCAAAATGAACACTGCCACCATCCAAAGTCCAAGGTCCCAAGTTCTTTATATCCTAATTTTGTACCAGTGTCAAACTCTTAACCTTCTGAATGTACAAAGAGGTTTTTATTTGAAATCCACGGCACAAACGACCTCTTCAGATTCATAATGAGGCACGCATTGAATGGAACACAGCTCAAGGTGAGTCATTCATTAATCATAAACAAAACAGCCCCTGATCAAGGACACGTCGGCACACACTGTAAAAAGAGGCCGGTTGCCCAATCCCTTTATTTAATATTAACTACATTATGTTTTTCATGTGAGTCCTGAGAAGGTGATTTTTCTCACTTTATTTGGAGGCAGCCCAGTGTGAATAGATAATCACATCCCCCAGTGTTGTTCCCCCTGAAGGTCCACTATGTTCGACAAGACCCTAGCAAATCTGGCCTCTTGTGGGGAGGTGGAGTATGAGGGGCCCTGCGCCTGGAGCTGGAGACTTCAAGCCGGAATCCACCAAGCATAAAAACAGCTACCAACAAGAGTATTACAAACGACATGAATAATATTTGTGATTAATAACAGCTAACCAGAGTCTCATGAGCCAAGAAATGCATGATTACTTTATTACAGATATCTG